TCATGGTGTATAATTATTTTTACATGTGGCTGGATTTGGCTTGCCAGCATTTTGTTGAGGATTTTAGTGTCCATACTCATAAGAGATATTGGTTTGTCATTTTCTTTTCTTGTGATGTCTTTATCTGGTTTTGCTATCAGGATAACACTGGCCTCAGAGAATGAGTTGAGAAGTGTTCCCTCTCTTCTATTTTTGGAACAGTTTGTAAAGAACTGGCTAATTCTTTAACGTTTGATAAAATTCACCAGTGAAGCCATTTGGGCCTGGGATTTTCTTTGTGAGTGTTTTTTTAAATCACTAATTCAGTCTCTACACTTGTTATAGATCTATTCAGATTATCTATTTTTTTCTTGAGTCAGTTTCAGTAGTTTGTGTCTTTCTAGGAATTTATCCATTTCACCAAAGTTGTCTAATTCATTGACATACAATTGTCCATAGTATTACTTTAGAATCTTTTTTATTCTGTAAGGTCAGTAAAAACATCCCCTCTTTCACTTCCGATTCTAGTAATTCCTCTTTGTTTCTTGGTCAGTCTAGCTGAAGTCTTGTCAATTCTGCTAATCTGTTTAGCTTGAGCGATTTTTCTCTCATGGTTTTCTATTTTATGTTTCATTTTCATTTATGTCTGCTCTAATGTTTATTATTTCCTTTCTTCTGCTTATTTAGGTTTAATGTGCTTTTCTTTTTACAGCATCTTTAGGTGGAGGAAAGTTAAGTTATTCATCTGAGACCTTTCTTTTTTCTAAATATAGGTATTTTTACCTATAAATTTTCCTCTAAGCACAGCTTTAGCTGCATCTCATAAGTTTTGATATATTGTGTCTTCATCTTCATTCATCTCAAAGTATAAATTCCCCTTTTGATTTTTTCTTTGACATTCATTATTTAGGACTGTACTGTTTAATTTCCACATATTTGTGAGTTTCCCAAATTTCTTCTTGTTATTAGTTTCTAATTTCATTCCCTTGTGGTTGTAGAACTTACTTTGTGTTATTTCTATTCTTTTAAACTTACAAAGTGGATTTTGTTTATGACTTAGCATAAGATCTATCTTGGACAATGTCCCATGTGCACTTTTCTGTTGTTGGATGGAGTGTTCTATAGATGTTTGTTAGATCTAGTTGGTTTATGGTGTTGTTCAAATTTTCTATTTCCTTGTTTATCTTCTGCTTAGGTCTATCCATTATTGCAAGTTAGGTATTTAAGTCTTCAACTATTACTGTTTAATTGTCTATTTCTTGCTTCATTTCTGGAAGGTTTTGCTTCATGTATTTCAGGGCTCTGTTGTTAAATGCGTATATTTTTATAATTGTTATACCTTAATGGATTGCCTCTTTTATTATTATAAATGTCCTTCTTTGTCTCTAATAGCAATTTTTGTCTTGAAGTCCATTTCATCTGATATCAGAATAGCCATTCCAGCTCTCTTGGTTGCTGTTTGCATTACATATCTTTTTTATTTCTTTTACTCTCAATCTATTTGTATCTTCGGTGTTTTTTTTTTAGTCCACTCTTACAATCTCTGACTTTTGACTGGAATGTTTCAACTATTCAGATTTTTTAAATCCATCCATATATAGTGTTATTATTGATATAGTGGATTTACATCTGCCATTTTATTTATTTCTATATGTCTCATGCCTTTTTTGCTCTATTCCTCCTTTATTACTGTCATTTGCATTAAGTGAATATTTTATAGTGCAGCATTTTAATTTCTTTAAGATTTTCACTATTTTTTGAGTTTTTTGCTTAGTGGTTGCTCTAGGACTTACCAAATATATCTTATCAGAAACAGCTTCAGATTTATACGAACTTAATTCCAGTGAGCTACAGAAACATTGCTCCTATATGGCTCTATTCCCTGTCTCCCCTTTTTATGGCATTGTCGTTACACATACTACATTTACAAATGTTAGAAACCCAAAAATACATTGTTATAATTCTTACTTTACATAATTTCATGTCTTTTAAAGAAGCTAAGAGATGAAAGGACAGCAATTATATTTTTATAGCTTTTGTTGATATTAATTCGTATCATTTCTGGCTTTCCTCATTTGCTTCTGTGGATTCAAATTACCATCTGGAGTCACTTCCCCAGCCCAGTGCAGCTTTGCTCCCAACCACCTCCTGTGTGATATTATTAGAAAATATATTACATTTCTAGATGTTATAGGCCCAACAGTACATTATTTTCTACAACTGCTTTTAAAATCAGTTAACAGAAAAGAGATGAGGAGAAATGCATTTTTTCTGTCTTTCACAATTACTTTTACCATTGTTCTTTGATTTTTTTGGTGTGGATTCAAATTACTGTCTGGGTCACTTGCTTTCAACCTAAAGAACTTCCGTTAGTATTTCTTGTAAGGTGAGTCTTCCAGCAACAAATTCTCTCATTTTATGCTTATCTGCATATGTCTTTTTTTTCTCCCTATAGCCCCAGTACAGAGTTGTACGTCATAGTTCTGAGTCCTTCTAGTTCTTTTATGTGAGATACTACCACAGCATGGTTTGATAAGTAGTGTGTAGGTCTGCCCCCAGGATCCAAACTGGTGAAACCCAGGCCACCGAATCAGAGCATACAAACTTAACCACTATGCCACTGGGCTGGCCCCTGCATATGTCTTTATTTCACCTTCATTTTTGAAACACAGCATTGCTGGATGTAGGATTCTTTTTTTTTTTTTTTTTTTGAGAAAGATTAGCCCTGAACTAACGGCTGCCAATCCTCCTCTTTTTGCTGAGGAAGACTGGCCCTGAGCTCACATCCATGCCCATCTTCCTCTATTTTATACATGGGACGCCTACCACAGCATGGCTTGCCAAGCGGTACCATATCTGCACCCAGGATCCAAACCAGCGAACCCCAGGCCGCCAAAGTGGAGCATGCGCACTTAACCGCTGTGCCACCGGGCTGGCCCCTGGATATAGGATTCTTCATTGACCGTTTTTTTCCCTTGAGCATTTTGAACGTGCTATCCCACTGTCTTCTGTCCCCATTGTTCCTATCGAGAAGTCAGCTGTTAATCTTATTGGTGGTCCCTTGTAAGCGATGAGTTGTTTTTCTCTTGCTGCTTTTAAGACTTTTTTCCCATCTTAGTCTTTCAGCATTTTTAATATGTATTTTTGGATCTCTCGTATGTATCCTATTTGGAGTTCATTGAGCTTACTGGAGGAGCAGATTAATGTTTTTGAGTAAACCTGGGAACTTTTCAGCCATTATTTCTTCAAATACTTTTTCTGTTCCTTTCTCTCTTCTCCTCCATTTCTCCCGTCATGTGTATGTTGATATGTTTAATGGTATCCCACATTCTTTTGAGGTTCTGTTCATTTTTCTTCGTTCTTTTTTCTCTCTTTTCTCTGGACTGCATCATCTCTATTGATTTATCTTCAAATTTGCTAACTCTTTTTCCTGCTAATTCAAATAAACTGTTGAGCACAACCAGTAAATTTTTCATTTCAGTTGTATTTTCCAATTCCAGAATTTCCATTTGGTTTTCTTTATAATTTCTATCTCTTTATTGATATTATCTATTTCATGTGACATCATCATCATACCTTTCTTACTTCTTTAATCATAGTTTCCTTTAGTTCTCTGAACATAATTATAATGTCTCTTTCGAAGTCTTTGTCTGTTAAATTTGACATCTGGTTACTCTCATAGGCAATTTCTATTGCCTGCTTTTATTCCCCTAGTATATGGATTATACTTTCCTTTTCCTCTGCATATCTTGTAATTTTTAGTTGGAAACTGGACATTTTAAATAACATACTGTAACAACTCTGGGTGCTGGTCCACCTCCCCTCCCCCAAGTCTTGTTATTGTTATTTGATTTTTACTTGTTTCCTGACTGGCTGGATTACTTCAGTGACATCTGCTTCCTCCTTTCTCCCATAATTTGTATTAATGAAACCAAATCTAAAGTGTGGTATTCAGGCCTGAATACCTATGTGAAGAACACTAACAAACTAAAGCATACACAGAGGAAGCTTCCCAGATAGGCAGGGTTTCAAAATGCCATAGACAAGAAGGCTAAGGGAACTATGGATATTTTATATAAAGCCAATCAGGCTGGGGCCAACCCGGTGGCACAGTGACTAAGTTCACACATTGCACTTCAGTGGCCCAGGGTTCACCAGTTCAGATCCTGGGTGCAGACCTATGCACCGCTTGGAAAGCCATGCTGTGGTAGGTGTCCCATATATAAAGTAGAGGAAGACGGGCATAGATGTGAGCTCAGGGCCAGTCTTGCTCAGCAAAATGAGGAGGATGGGTGACAGATGTTAGCTCTGGGCTAATCTTCCGGAAACAAAAAAGACTCCGAAAAAAAAAAAGTCAATCAGGCTAATAAGATAGAAAAGATACAGAGTTTCTGGCTTCAAAGTCTGAAATGCTATTCTGGTACAGTTAAAGAAGGGGAGGGTGAAGTCACAGAACTGAGACAAACAAGTAGGCATTATAGGAAACAGATTTTAACTCAAAATATAAAGAAGAACTTTATAAACAAGCAATTCAACAATGATATATGCTACCTTATAAAATAATGAGGTTTCTACTTTTAAGCAGAAGTTTTCAACCCGTCACAACTGTTGAGGATGGGATTCCTTGTTTGGGAGGAGAGCTGTGATTAGATGATCACATTTTCCATGACACTCAAGAATGTTGGCCTTGAATGTAGACATTCTGACATAATGCAAAACCCTTTACATGCCTATAAACATATTACAAACTATTATTCATTTCTAGAAAAATGTTTACAAAACAATGTTTCTTAAATGTTTCACTAGAAAGAGTTGCTCTGAGATCGCCATTTAAAAGATTTTCCTGATTAGTCACATATCTGGTACATTACTATATAAACACTGGGAGAAAGGATTGTTACTTTGAACTTTTTCCCTCATGTACTTCCTTTACAATATTAAAATAAAGTAATTCACTTTCAAGAGTCCCTCAGTTCTTACAAAAGCTTTTTTTTAATGAAATAATTGAGATCAAAACTCACCAGAAGAAATCTTACCAGCACCTTTATAGTCAACAGAAAATGCAGATGTGACTCCATTGGCTGACCCCAGTTCACACATGGAAATTTGATAAGGTGGCCTCAGCTTGATTTCTGTCTGCATGTCAGACAGACTTATTTTTGTTGAAAGAGATCTGGGATTATTATATCGTTGCTTGGTCCTCTGAATGAAGTTATCTACATAAAATAAAATAAAACTTCCTTGCAGTCATTTGTTAATTAAATCATTTGGAAGTGTGATGTTTATGGACAGGAAATTTTTCAGATAAACAGTTCCAAGTCATGGAATGTTCTAATATTATTTGTGTTTAATGCTTAATATATCATGGAGTCATCAGTTTTTCACTCTAGAAATTATACTCCAGAAATTCATAATTGTAAATAAAGATTTAACACTACATGACTGTGAAAATATTTCTATAACTATATCCATTTCAAGGAATTGCTTTGAACTTCTACAAAAAACAAAAACAGTTTTCTTTAACTTTAAACCAAAGTCTTCATTTTTATGGGGATTCATATCTCATAAAATATTAAGTCTGTCTTATTACCAGGTGCAATTACATAAGAACATACACTGTAAACTGCATGTTCTTATAAACTTTGCTTTCTGATTTACTGCTTACACTACTAGAATGTATATTTACTTTAAAGAATTTAATGAAATCAATAAAAGACATTTCCTAAATATCTCCCAAGATATCTCCTAAATAGCTTCCAATTTAATTTTCACTATTTATAATTTGGTTTTACTTTTTTTTCCCTTCTAAAACAGGGGTCAAGCAAACTAATGCCTACAGGCCAAATCTAGCCTTCTGTTTTTGTAAATAAAGGTTTATTAGAATATAACTACACTCATTCATTTATGTATTGCCTAAGCCTGCTTTCAAGCTACAATGGCAGGACTGAGTAGTTGTGACAGAGACCATATGGTCCTTAAAGCCTAAAATATCTATTATCTAGTCCTTCCTAGTAAATGTTTGCCAATCTCTATTCTACATTAAACAGACTATAAAAGATTATCAGAAACACAAAATTCTGAATCTGGCTTATAAATTTCTCTTGAAATTGTCTTCCAGGATTAATTCTTTGGGCCAATAATCACATGCCCCCTGCAGCTCAAACACAATTTTTTCTAATAGGTATGTAAATGAAGAAGTTATAATTTATAGGCCATTTGTCAAATTATTTTATCAAAAGCAAGATAGCAGACTTTTCTGAGTTTTCCCCCTGCCCACTAGTATTAGACAAAAAATTGCTTATGACTAGATGGAGACATAATAATGAAAAGGAAAAAAAAATCAGGGCCTTACCAAACTCAATGAAACAGTATGGTCTGACAGCAGTATTTGTCTTCATCATGTTATAAGTAGTAATGAACTCCTTCTGAAGCTCATCCAGGAAAGAGAAGGCCAGAACATTTGGGTAATTTTCAGTGCACAACATCATGTAGCTCACTCCCAGAGAGCTAATAAAACTACAGTGTAAAAAACATTGGTTTTAAAATTTCAAATTAAATCAAGGTAATTTGTTACTTCACAAGATTGGTTCTATACACCATAAACTGCTGCTATCGTGGCAATGAAGATATTAACATTTATTATATATTCCAGCAAAAAATTAAAGAAAACAAAATATAATACTATTTTCAGTTGCAGTTTAAAAACAGTAGACAAAAAATGGAATGGTACACACACTATGGTTCTAACACTTAAGTTATTTATCAGTTGGGGTAGAAAGCAGGGGAAAGAATACAGAAAAATACAAGGGTAACAGCTTAAGGTTTAACCCTGTTTGAATCAAGAATGCTTTAGAGATTCTGATGAAAGTTACGGACACTCGCCCTAGAAAGATGTCTAGACAACACAGAACTTGGCGCACAATTTCAGGGTGGTTACTGACTTCTTGAAGTCATCCACTGACCCCAAACTCAAATCCTCTACTTCACACAGTAATGAATTATGAACCATTAGGGGAAAAAAGAGGAATTTATGAGTTCAAACAAAAACAAACAAAATAAAAGGGGAAGAAAAGAAGACTCTTGCTCATAGCAGGATGCTGAGCGCCAAGTGATAAATGTGGAGGTAGTGCTAGAATTGGGAAAATCAGCATTTTGCAACCAACATAGTAAAGATTGGATCAAGCAAGGACCATCAATGGGTGTTAAATCTAAGTGGAAATTTTGATAGGAGCAGGAATTTTGCATGCTTTTAAAACGTCTTCCCATGGATTGCTTATTGGTTACAAGGGAAAAATATTTATTATACAGTAGAAACTAGACAACACCTTTAGCAAGTACTCTAACACCAGTAATGAGGGGCAGATGGACTTCCTGTGCCTCCAGTTGTGATAGCCTCAGAAAGACTTATCAGCTATGTAGCATTCTGGGCGAGAATGCATAATCTGAAGCTAATCATGAAGGAACACCAGAATGAGCAGCATTCTATTTAAAAAAAGAGGAGAGGGGCTGTATTCTTTAAAAATCTCAATGTTGTAAAAAAGGAAATAAAAGCTGTGGAAATGTTTCCCATCAAAAGAGGCTAAAGAGACACAACTAAATGCAATACCTAACCCTAGACTTGATCCTGTGCCAGAGAGGGGGAAAAAATGCTATGAAGGACATTCCTGGGTCAATTGACAAAAATGGGAAACAGGCAGATTAGACGAAAGTATGTTATCAATATTAGATTTACTAGAGCTGATAACTGTACCATAGTTAAGTAAAGGAGTATCTCTAATCTTAGAAAATACCCTTTGAAGTAGCTATGAACAAAGGGGTCTGTTATTTGTAAGTTTCTCTCAAATGGTTCAGAAAAAACAAATCAGACAAAAAGATAGGTAGATGGATAAAAAGATAAAGCAAATGGGGTTATATGTCAACAAAAGGTGAATCTAGGAACAGATATTATCTGAACTCTTCTGTAAGTTTGAAATTATTTCGAAATAAGTTAAAAATTAAAAACAAAAAACTTCTACTTGAAGCACTGAAATGTTTCAATTAATCATGTTCTATTGAAACAAAAAACCCTCTAGAATAAAGTATATACCCCCCTATAATAAGCAGAGCATGGGACACACAGTAACCCTTTCCAGTGAGCCCTGTAAACATCCTTTTATTGTACTATCAGCGCAGCTGGTCCAGGGCAAGGGCAGCACACAGAGCACACAGGCTGTGACTCCCACTCCTGTGTCACACACTATGTATCACAGCCATCTTGAGCACCAAACCTGGATCCACACGGTAGTTCCCCGCCCCCCTTTTTTCTCTAATAACGTCAAAGCATAATTTATTATTTTTAATTTAATGTTTAGAAAGATACATTCACAATTCAAATTTTAAAAGAATGAAAAATGAAAGGAAATATTGTACTTCAAGTGTCTCATCTCCACCTCTGCCCAGAGACACCCAGTTCTCTGCCCCTCAAGCAACTCATGTTATTAATTTCTTACGTATTCTTCCAGTAAGAGAAGAATATTTACACACATGCAAGTAAATCTCTTTCTCTCTCTCTCTCTCTATATATCTTTCTTTCTTAAAAGATCATCCCAGGCAGCCAAATGATGTGGGGTTGGCACTTGTTAATCATCTATTATTAATGGTGTGGGATATACCACTGGTGCTACTGTGCTAATCTTATACTTCTGGAATAATCTGGAATTCCCTTCTGAAGTTCCACTTAATACACACCATTTGATGCACTATTTTTCAATCTGCAAGTTGTAACCCATTAGTATGTCATAAAATTAGTGAATTACACACAGCATTTTCCTAAAAATTGAAATAAACAGAAAATATCAGAATGCATATTGTTTCATAAAACTTTGTTTGAGTTTCCTATTTGTATAGGTAGTGTTCACAAAATGTCTCTCTTCTTTGGGGTCAAAAAAGTTGAGCCATTAATATTGCATTTTTCTACAAAATTAATAACTAAATCAAAGGCCAAAGTATGTTTTTCCCAAGTAATTTTCTCTTTCCAAAATAATCCTCACTGTCATTATCAAAATTCCTTGACATGTCATTAGCATTCAAATACACCCCACAATAACCTGAATTGAGACAGAATACAATTGGCAATCGGCTTCCACACACTTGGAACTCCAAAGTAGCTAGCTAGGAGTTATTATCATCATCCTCAAATAATATGACTGAAGCTTTTGGACCCCCTTTTTTGTTATGGCAGGGTTTTGCTGTATTTCCATATTAATAATAGAGTGAACCACAGACACCTACATGACAGTTTATCCCAAATGGTTTCTTTTGCTTGCACGAAATTGATCTAGAGAATTAGATATGAAATAAAGGAAACCTTATGTTTTTAAGATTATATGTTAGCATTTTCAGGGAGTCTGTATTCCAAAGTCTTTATTTTACTATAAGTGCATGATACTTTCTGAAAAGGCTATAACACGTTCTATTATATCATGGCTTTTCATAGTGAATTTGGACTTAAAATGCTGTCTTTCTGTGGCCACAAAGCCAGTTTTCCAAAAGCACATATAGCTCAATTTACCTTTGTTACCAAAAGACTTCTGCTTTTTCAACTATCACTGGGACAGACTGAAAGACTCCCACCATTTCACTACTCATATGCAATAGTCTGAAGTCATTACAGGCACACCACGTTGTGCATGCTTTAGCCTGTCCATCAGGTTCATTTAGCTCACATTTTATAGACAATCTGGCCACTGTCCTTCTGCCTTGAGGAGGAGGAGGAAGAGAAGTAGTAGGAATAGTAACAGCAGTAGGTACAGTTTACTGACCACTTAGTATGAATCTGGCCCCTCACTAAGTGCTTTCCATCTTTAATCTCTTTCCAATAAAAGAGCACTACTATCTCCGTTTTACAGATGAAGAAACAGAGGCTCAGGGAGGCTTAGTAACTTACCCAAGGCCACACACCATTAAGAAGCAGAGTGCGTACAAACTTAATTCTAATTCTAAAGCCCACATTCTTTCCACAATACCAACCTCGTAACAGTACAAACCAAATATGTCCTAATCACCAAAATTTTTTCACTTTTTCCAAGCCATAAATCAATCTCTATTTTTCCCCCTAATTAAGAGTAATGAAACTTGAGGATTTTGGAACTTGTATCAGAAAGATATTCTGGAAGCCCTGCCAATTCCTCCACTTCATCTTGTGCAACTCTACTCCTCCTTCTCTGCATTCCAGCCACACTAGTCTTGTTTCAGATCTTCAAGGATACAAACCCACTCCCAGTCCTCCAACTCCCAATCTGAGAAGCTTCACGAATTCAGTCTAACCCACTTGTAATACTCCCAACCCCACCTCTGCCATGCTCCAATTCTGACCAGGTTAACTCCTACTCATGCTTCAGTTCTCTGACTTAAAGTCCCTCCCAGAGCACACAATCTAAATTGATCCCACCTGCAATGGTTATATTAGAGCAGCTGCTATTTTTCTCCATGTAACTAACCCAATTTGTAATCGTATATTTATGTGCTCATTTGTTGTAATGTCTCTATGCTCTATGAGATCAGGGATGATTTATATAATGTTCACCATTGTATTCTTAGCACCGAGAAATATTTTGTTGTCTAGTACACAGTAAGTGCTTAACGAATTAGTGAATAAATTAGTGCAAAGACAGCATCATTCATTCACTCATTTATACACTAATTTGTTGACTATATTGCACACAGATAATTGTACAGGCCAGCACTATCTACACAAAGTATCTACACAGAGTAAAAGCTCCATAAATACTCGATAAAATGACAGAAGAGAGAACTTCACCCTGCCCTTCCAGTCAGTGTTCCCAGAAAGCTGCAGGCTCAGGCCAGTGAGTGCTTAACAACTCCCTACTTTAAAGAGAGGGACGTTCTCAGGGACCATGTAGAACTACCCACCTCTGCAGTGAGTACCTCAAGATGGCTGTACAGGTCCAACCAGCTATGTCTGCTCTCCTTTTATCACAATCATAACTAATCCTCACACACACACAAAAGTCCTCCTTTCTCCACAATGAGCACAATTTTTAAATTGCCATTGTTTTCTTCCTACTTTGCTCTCATTTCCTTTTTCTTTTTCATTTCTCTTCCACTTCTGGGCTTTGGTACCATACGGTTTGGTCTTTACAGCTGCCTTTGTTCTGGCCAAAGAATTTATCCAACCTCATTACACCTCTGGTTCCTTTCCACGGTATACACACTAGGAACTTCTTTTGGTCCTTCCAGGATCAAATGCATCTTGAACAGGTAAGGCTGGCAGAAGTTCAAACTCCAGATAAGGGGGATTTACTTTAATCACTTCATTAAAAAACTATTTCTGTCATGTATCCAAGGAGGTCACACTTCAAGTGATTGTTAAATTCCAACAAAATAAATAAGTGATTTTAGATATTAAACTTTTCCTGGTGTCTAATTTTATTTATGAACTGTCAAAGAAATTTTACACATCACCAATTAAACACTGACATTATTAGGACAATTCTGGCATGCTGCACCAAACTAAATAATTAGTGAAAGCAATCATCTTCCCTACAGCAAATAACAGAGAACCTAGCATATGTCTAGCATTCTACTCTATAGGCTCTGATGTCAAAGACAAGTACCTGCTTGCCAGGCTCATGCAATACAGAACTGAGAATGTACTTAAAACAATGATATGCAAAACAAGACAAAGAAACAGAACTGCATTTCATAGCATGCTAAATGATACAGTATACAGGAAACTATTAGTTGAGACAGTAATAATTAATATTTGTATTACATATAATTTTCATCTGGAATTGTACCATTACACATAGAAATCTGCTTATCCTTTGCAGCCACACTTGCCCAGTGAATAGCTTTCCTGGGTGAAGAAAAGTTCTCCAGTAGGACACGTCCTCTCTAATCTACTGTTAAAATTGCTAAGTTTAAGAAAAACGCTATTTTCAAAATAGAACCTTCTACACTGAATTCCATTCTCTAAAATAAAGTATTTAAACTTTTAAATATAAAAAAAAGGTTGACATTATGAAAGTGAATATACCTTATGGATTTTGTTGTCACCAAATACTTCTAATAGGAAAGAAAGTGAAAACAAGACTTTGTCATCAGTGAGACAGTAAAGAAATAAGAACCAGAAAGAGAATTCAGTAACAGTGAGTGTCCACCATGTGCAGCATTCTACCAGAAACTTTCTATTTTCTTACTTATGCCTCTCTTATGTGGCCAACTTTCAATTACCCTCCAAGGGTGAAGAGCTAAACCATGAATAAATTATCTCATGAATAGAAGACCCATTTAGTCACTAATTTTAACCTTATTAAATATGAAAATATTTACTAATATGCAATATGCCAGATGATAGGAACTTATAACAGTAAGCTAAAGGAGAATCTGAGATGATTTTAAGTGGCCAAAGGTGATTACACCATCAGAGCCTTGTATAAAACACAGAGCCAGCAAAATTTGCCTTTGACATCCTTCATTTCCTTTTGTGCAGAGTTCATCTAGCTCCTGATTCACCCTTTCCCACAAACTCTAACACCTTCCACACGCCAGAGAATGAAGATCTTGACTTTTTATATAACCAATCATAGGTAATCCCTACTTTACCTACTGGTTGTATTCCAGTCTATTGCACCCAGAACTCATTTCCCCACAGACACTGTATTGTTAGAGTAATTAGGTTCCTAGGCTAGTTCACAAGAGCCTATTTAACATACATGGTGATGAAAAGTTGTAGATTTTTACCATAACAAACATCAGAAAAGTACGATGATGCTAGTAATGAGACAAAACAGGAAGGTAGGATACACACTTTATCTTCCTCCCCCAAGTGATCATGTAGCTACTGGTGGGTTGCAATCCCTTGCCATACCCCCTCCCCACCAAACACCTCGCCTCCAACAAGACAATGCTGTCTCATCAATTTTAGACTTCACACATACTCTGTCCCTCATTATTTCTCAAACAAAAGGGGGTGGGGGTAGTTTCACTTAATTCTCTTCCCTGGTTAATTTCTCTCCCCATAAAAAGAGAAAAGAATTAGGAGAACTAGGAATGCACCCTGTCAACAAAGAAGTTAAGGGTAAAGGGAGCCAACTCCCTCTTTTATTAGAGGGCAACGTGAACACTGAAGCCAAAGGACTGTGGCTCAATATACCATTTATTACCTTTGTGACTTGGAAAGAGTTCTTTACAGCCCTAAGTCTCAGTTTCCTCATCTGTAAAATAGGGATGGTGGTACTATAAGGACTATCTGCCCAGCATTCCTTCTCTCCTTCCCTTTGGGGAATTACCTCCAGCCCCACTACCTATTCTATACAGCTTTGGTAAAGCTGCCTGTCAAAAGGCCTGGCCAACTAAGAGTACCCTAGCCCTCTGACCACAACGTTAGTCCAGAAATGGGCCAACACACAGCAAGGCCAATTAAAGTCCTTTTCTTGAAACATGAAGGGAGAGGGGTTGCTCAGCTGGAATGAAGTAAGCTGAGAGCTGCCTGAACAGTGTTTTCCATTAAGTGAAGAATGCCTATCTGCAAAAGGAGAGAGACTAGAGAAATGAGAGGAAGACTCCTGCTAACAACATCTGAGTCCCTGGGTTCAGCCAACTCGGAAGCAGGCCTATCCCTCACAATACCATTTTTTTTGTTGCTTAAGCTAGTGTGAGTTGTGTTTCTGCCTTCGGCAATGGGAAAGAGCTCTATTTATTAGCCATTTACAGGGCTGTTGCAAAATTTAATGAAGTGTAAGTAAAGTGCCTGGGAATTGCAGGTACTTAATAACTGGGTCATTGTTGAAGCTGTTACTCCTACAATCAGAAAACATCACCAAAGGGTGAAAGGAAAGCACTGCCAGAAACTAAACCAAAAGGTAGCTAAGCCTAAAATAGCATTCCTGGCTAGAGGTAGCAGTTTGGGGACAAATATGGAGAAAGTGAATCCTTAGGTAAGGAGAGAAACTATGAGGCTCACAGCAATTATCTGACTTCAAATAAATTTACAGTGAAAGAACTAAGAATTTTACTTCTTGCACTAAAATTCACAATAGAGTATGAGTGACCTCCCACAGGGGTTTGTCTTTTCATAAGATCAGTGTCTCAATGTTTAGACATCTCAAAATATACAACTATGATTTTTAAATCCCAGAAACCAACCTCAAAGTTTTAAGATCTCATAGGACACAACTTAATTTTCATATGGTTCATAATTATTGCTTTAATCCTTGTTGTTTCCTAATTAGTGACATAAGTTTATATATTAAACATTTACGACAATTTAAGGAAAGTATCCGTCAACCTACAAAACAGACGAATTCCTTAAAATTTTATACATTTTCTTTTTCATTTGCACTTGTATTTTACTAGTTCAGGCTCTAATTATAAGTTGACCTCTCTCCTCTCAGACTTTCCATTTCACCCTATATTCTACTGTCTCAGCAGTGTTTTTTTATCAAGTCACTTCCCTCAAACCTGCATTAACAGCCTATAACCTATTATATCAAAGTGACATCCCTCAATCTGAATTTTCAGGAAAATCCAGGATCTGGTCCCACACTAATTATCCCACATTTTGCATAATTATCCCTAAACCACCATTTACTACACCAGGCTAAGCAGATTAATGCACCTACCATGCTAAGACACATTCTTTATTATTCTGCCTCTCCTCCCTACACCTGGAATGCCCTCCTCTCTGCCTTAGACTGCCTCTCTTACTAATTCTTCAGGATACGGCTCATGTCTCAATAAGGAAGCCCTCTCCTTATTATATCCCATATGGACTTTGTCCTTATTTGATTTCCTACTGTATGCACAGTCAGTATCAAACTGCTCTGGAGTTAACTGTTCTCTAATTGTTTCCCACGCATGCTCTCCAAGGTGGTCTTACCTATTCCCCATGGTTTTAATTACAAACTGTAAGCAGATCCCCAAATCTAAATCTCTATACTTGTCCTTCTTCACTAAACTTCAGACTTATACACCCAGCTACCTACCTGACAGTGCCTCTTGGATATCTAATGGGCATCTCAGACTTAACATATCCAAACAGAACACCTAATTTTTAGCAGTGAAATACTACATCCTCTAGTCTTGCTCACTTCGGCCCCATTATCATCCAGTTCCTCAGGCCAAAAATCTAGAGGTGACTCTTGACTCTTCTCTTTCCCTCACATCCCACTTCAATCCATTAGGAAGATTTGTTGGTGTAATTCCTAAATACAACCACTTTTCACACTATCATCCTTGTTCAAGTTATAAGCATCACCTCTACCTGAACTTCTCTAAGAGTCTCCTCAATGATCTCTTCCACTCTTCCTCCCTTAGAGAGCTTCTTCATAGAGCAGCCAGGATGATTTACTCAAAGCCAAAACTCTCCAATGGCTTCCTATTGCATTAGATTCAATCCAAACTCCTTATCACAGCCTAGAAGGCCTACATAACCTGTCCCATTCCTACCTTTCCAACCTCACTTTTTGCCACTTTATTATTTGTCCACATTGCTTCAGCATCTCTGGCTTTCTTTCCATCCTTGATCTGTATCGAAGGCCTTCTGCACTGGTTGTTACCTCTGCCTTGCTCTTTATCCATAGCATCCTTCATATGACTGTCTTTTTTCTTATCTTTTAGGTCTCTGCTTAAATGTCACTCTCTCAAAGGGCCCTTGACCATCATAAAGTCACTCTCTATCCCATCACCTCGTTCCACTTTCTTTATACACAATAAATAGTGATGAATGCTATCCCCTCTCACCAGAATGTAAACCTAAGTTCTCTGAGGGCAGGTATCATGTAAGATTTTTTATATTTCCCCTCACAGCTTTCCTGGCCATATAAGAACACCAATAAACACCTAGTGATGGAATATCTGTGATCCGCAAAACTATAAAATTTTTTAAAGCCAGGTATAAACACAGAGAAACTGCAAAAAAGGTGATGACATGATGACTATTATTTCAGTATAAGTTCAGAACCACATGATTCTTGACTTAAACAAGTTTTCCTAAACTAATCAAACACTAATTTCTATTGAAACCACTTAAATTTCATTAAAATGACAACCCACTAAGCAAGTGCTTCTAATGGAGCAAACTAAAGTCTTACTTAATATTATAATGTCCAGTTTTCAGTGTACATCTATCAGGAAGCTGAGCAAGTTTCTTCGAGAGCATTTTAAAATACTTTCTGCACTCCTGCATGCCTGTGCCTTGTTCATAGTCAGTAGAAGCAGAAAGTGGCAATCCATCTCTGACACGAATGACTGAGGCAGATAAAATCATAGACATTTCAATCAACAGAGGAGACCTAAAATAAAATGAACAATTTGGGTTAGACAAAAAAATTAAAGCCAAAGCTGATAAACATAGGCAAAAATGTTCAACTCATTAATAATCAAAGACATACTAACTAAAACAGTGAAATACTATGCATTCCTTAACAAATTAGTTTTTAAAAAAATAATACTTGTTTCTTTCTGGCATTCTCATAAATATACATGGAAGCAAATATTGGAATAAACACCATTCTCGAAAAAATTTGGAAATATTCAACAAGAGTTTAAAAATATTTATGCCCTTTGACAAGAATAAATTTAAATATATAATCCTATCCTAAGGAAAGTAATCAGATTTACACAAAATTTTAAACAGAAAGACATTCTTTCACAGAAATAACTGAGAACAACCTAAATGTCCAACAATAGGGGGATTGTTAAGTAAATTATACAACACCCATATGACAGAATATAATGCAGAAACTAAAAGTTATGTTTGTGAAAAACAGTTTAATGAGGTGGTAAAATACTTATATATTAGGTAGAAAAAAAGCAGGATAAAAACTGCAAATGTTGTTTTCCATAAAGACAAAAAGAAGAAAGAAGGGAGGGATAAATGGAGAAACAGATACTGGAAGGAAGCATGCCAGAATAAGAATAATGCCAATCTCCAGGAAATAGTATGATGGATGACCATTATCTAATTTCCTAAACGTTTATAATATTCCACAAAGGGCATACATTACTTTTATAATCAGAAAAAATATTTCTATTTAAAATAAATCTTAAAGTAAAGGAACATTTGTTTTAAAAGTGTTCTCAATCTTTTTACCAGAAAGTAAATCATAATGGCCTTTTTTATTATATTCTGATCGTACTTTATAAAAAGATAAAAGGACTACAGTGCCCTGGGTCTAAAAAAAATCAGGTAAACAGTCAAACTTTGATTTTGAAAAAAAAATGCAGTTCTCAGAGTTTAGCTTGTATAAAAACCTCTGGAAGTTTGGTTAAGAAATGCAGATTTCCAGGCCCACCACCAAAAAATTCTGATCCACTAACTGTCGGATGAGGCTTGAGAATCTCCCATGTTAATAAATTCCCCAGGTAATTACTATGCTTATTGCCTAAGTACCATTCTTTGAAAAAACACTGAATTAAAACAAGTTCACAGTCTGAAATTAAGTGGTAAGTCTTTTGTGCCAGGCCATCAGAGCACAACGTCACTAAATGCTTCTCCTTCACTAGCAGTAGAGGCAACTGGTGAAAAATGAAAATTTCATAGGCTTTTTTTTCAAGATATTGTATTTTACAGGCTAAATTAATCCTTACCTGCCCAATTTGACCAGGTCAATATTACCTCATTCCAAAAATGAAAAACTGAATTAGTAATATTTCAAAAAATGCCACAGAAAACTAGTTGGTACCAAATTTGGAAATCAGCAGTCCCTAGTTTTCATTGCTGTGTGAAGTCAAAATCTGACTGCCCATTCATGACAGAAACTGATTGCCAATAAAAATTAACCCAAATAATAAGGCTAATACATTAAAATCACTCCCCCCTTTTCCTCTTTTCATGAGAAAATGAGAGGAATAGCTAGTATTAATATGTCATTACCCTTTAATACTTTTCTCCTCCATTTTTTAAAAGGAAAAAACCCAGCAGGAATTAAATTAGCCTTCACCATAATAGAATCTTCGAACGAAAGTTCCAGGATGACATATCCACATCATCTTCCTTTCTATTCAACCAGTTTCTTTTCTCTTCTAAAAGCAGTAGCCAGAGAAAGCTAGGATCCCTCAAAGTATAATATCCATACTATAAACCCTTGTAAAAATCGTTGCCATGTTGTATTTATTAAACCACAATTGTAACATTTAGTCTAACTGTAAGAAAGAAAATGTCTTACTTCATACCCTTAAGCACTTATTATTTACATATAAGATTTTTGCCTTTCCAGAAGTATACTGCAACACAGTGACCACTCTGGGAATTAATATGAGGGCAGGGTTGTGACTTATAGTTTCCAAAATCCATATTCCTAGTATTTAAAAGTAGATTGCATTCTTTTATGCCTGATATTCTTAGGATTCCACCAGAAATATTAAGAATCATCTTACTTAGAGAGTGCCAACTTTCATGTAATCTTTGAAGTTGCTCTTTTTTATGACTTGAAAGAAAGAAGGATATGATTCACACTTCCTAAAACATATACTAGAAAAGAATACCAACTTGTAAGTTCCATTTGTTTACCGAACATTTAACATACTGTATGCCAGTGACTATGCCAGACATTAGGAATACACAGTTCCTACCATCAAAAAGCATCAGATCAGAATTCAAGACATTCAAATGAAAAGAGCAAATAATGCAAGCTGTGTAGCCCACCACTTTACTAATTGGAAAACTACAGTTAGACAAACTTGCATTTCAGATATGTCTAATACACACTGTTAGGCTTGTAACCAAAAGCACAACACAGCAGTGATGATCCCTGTCAAAATTCTTAAAAGGCTGTCAGAGAACTGTTTCTATTTATCAGTAGATAAGATTTTTCTGAGGAGAAAGAGTTAAATGTCTTCCTCACAGAGTCATTTAACCTAGCATCCAACAGTAAATTAGCAAAAGAAACTGGGAAGACCTTTGTCCAATGAACAATACCAGGCCTAACTAATTTGCAGACAGACTTCAGTCACCTCAGAATAAGCAACCTCTCCTCTATCAACTCAATAAACATGCCCCTCCTTTTTTTTCTTTTTACCTTGGATTCTTAATGTCCATTCCTTAAAAAAACACATTCTGATCTTATCGGGACTGTGCTAGTAGAAAAAGGAATCTACATCAAGGCCAAGCTAGGGTTAGAGCACTCCTAGAATGTAGGCAAGGGTGGTAGTTGTGAAAAAAAAGGAAAAGTCAGTGGGAAACAAGGGGTTAAAACACTTGCATGGGAAGATTTAGGAGAAGTAGTAGTTTTATCAGGGCTAGAGATACATTTTTAGGCCACTGGTCCATTTTTTCTCACCTTTAACACTGAAAAAATATTACATACACCTTTAGACAGCAGCAGCAAACTCATAGGGAATCTTAACAGGCCTGATATCCTTTCCCCAATAGCAACTGATAAAGGAAAAGGCCCAAATTAGAATCTAGGTAGGTCTGGGAAAACAATTATACAAAGGCTGAGGAAAATAAACTTCCACAATGCCAAACTACCATAGCAGCACTTAGAAATCTTTTAGACCCAAGATAACTACATACTGACCTCTCTTCTTCAGAACCTTGTGGGGTAATGCTCGTTAGCCCAAGGTACCAGGAAGGCACTCTCTCAAAAATAAACAAAATCCAACATACAAGTACATTTTATATCTACTTTCCAGCAAGATGGTTTCATAAATGTCTCTTTTAAGATAAAAACACTTTATATTGAAATGGGTATAGGAGGAAAGTACCTCAACATAATAAAGGCCACATATGACAAACCCACAGCCAACATCATACTCAATGGGCAAAAACTGAAAGCCATCCCTCTGAGAACAGGAACAAGACAAGGGTGTCCACTCTCACCACTCTTATTCAACATAGTACTGGAGGTTTTGGCCAGAGCAATTAAGCAGGAAAAAGAAATAAAAGGAATCCAAACAGGCAATGAAGAAGTGAAACTCTCACTGTTTGCAGACAACATGATCTTACATATAGAAAACCCCAAAGAATCCATTGGAAAACTATTAGAAATAATCAACAACTACAGCAAAGTTGTAGGGTATAAAATTAACTTACATAAATCAGTAGCATTTCTATACTCTAATAATGAACTAACAGAAAAAGAACTCAAGAACACAATCCCATTCACAATCGCAACAAAAAGAATAAAATACCTTGGGGTAAATTTAACCAAGGAAGTGAAAGACCTATACAACGAAAACTACAAGACTTTCGTGAAAGAAACTGATGACGACATAAAGACATGGAAAGACATTCCATGCACACGGGTTGGAAGAATAAACATCGCTAAAATGTCCATTCTACCTAAAGCAATCTATAGATTCAACGCAATCCCAATCAGAATCCCAATGACATTCTTTACAGAAACAGAACAAAGAATCCTAAAATTCATATGGGGCAACAAAAGACCCCAAATTGCTAAAGCAATCCTGAGAAAAAAGAACAAAGCTGGAGGCATCACAATCCCTCATTTCAAAGCATACTACAAAGCTACAGTAATCAAAACAGCATGGTACTGGTACAAAAACAGGCACACAGATTAATAGAACAGAATTGAAAGCCCAGAAATAAAACCACACATCTATGGACAGCCAATATTCGACAAAGGAGCTGAGGGCATACAATGGAGAAAAGAAAGTCTCTTCAACAAATGGTGCTGGGAAAACTGGACAGCCACATGTAAAAGAATGAAAATTGACCATTCTTTTTCACCATTCACAAAAATAAACTCAAAATAGATCAAAGACCTAAAGGTAAGACCTGAAACCATAAGGCTTCTGGAAGAAAACATATGCAGTACACTCTTTGACATCAGTATTAAAAGGATCTTTTCCGACAACATGTCTTCTCAGACAAGGGAAACAATAGAAAGAATAAACAACTGGAACTTCATAGACTAAAGAGCTTCTTCAAGGCAAAGGAAAACAAGATTGAAACAAAAATACAACCCACCAAGTGGGAAAAAATATTTGCAAATCATATATCTGACAAACGGTTAATCTCCATACTATACAAAGAACTTACACAACTCAACAACAAAAAATCAAACAACCTGATCAAAAAATGGGCAGGAGATATGAACAGACCTTTCTCCAAAGAAGATATATGGATGGCCAATAGGCACATGAAAAGATGCTCATCATCACTGATCATCAGGGAAATGCAAATCAAAACTACACTAAGATATTACTTCACACCCGTTAGAACGGCAAAAATAACCAAAACAAAAAGTGACGAATGTTGGAGAGGTTGTGGAGAAAAAGGAACCCTCATACACTGCTGGTGGGAATGCAAACTCGTGCAGCCACTATGGAAAACAATATGGAGATTCCTCAAAAAATTAAAAATAGAAATACCATATGACCCAGCCATCCCACTACTGGGTATCTATCCAGAGAGCTTGAAGCCAGCAACTGCAAAAGTCCCATGCACCCCTATGTTCACTGCAGCATTATTTACAATAGCCAAGAGTGGAAGCAACCTAAGTGCCCATCAACTGATGATTGGATAAAGAAGATATAGTATATATATACAATGGAATACTACTCAGCCTTAGAAAAGGATAAAATCATCCCATTCACAACAACATGGATGGATCTTGAGGGTGTTATGTTAAGTGAAATAAGCCAGATAGAGAAAGACAATCTCTGTATGACTCCACTCACATGTGGAAGTTAAACATGTAGACAAAGAGAACAAATTAGTGGTTACCAGAGGAAAGGGGGAGTGGAGGGTGGGCACAAAGGGTGTGAAGTGGTACACCTACAACACGACTGACAAACAATAATGTACATCTGAAATTTCACAAGGTTGTAAACTATCATAATCTCAACAAAAAGTTAAAAAAGAAAAACTTCATATTGGGTTAATCACCGATATTTTATTTCAGTTCATTATTTCCCAAACTTTAGTCATCCAAGCAACATGTTCAGAAGTCTTAGCAGAACTGCATCCCACCTGTACTATTATTTACCTAATTTAGGTCTTTCAATTGACTTATTTTTTGCCCTATCCTTAGCAATAGTATCTGTGAAATCAGTTTTGAGATGTTAAGTTGTTCTCATAATTTAAATTAAAATAAATAGAAGACTTTTTTTGTTTCATTCAAATGCATATTTGTGAAAAATTTTGGAGAAGTATTTTTTTAAAGGTTCATCTGCTTATCACTCAAACTGTCTCACATATCTGATGGTACTGAAGTTTGGGAAACACTAGCTTGGTACATATGACTTTATTTAAATTGCCAGCTGAGATCTGTGGGAATGGGGGCGAGTATTTGGGGAGAAAGCTACACTAACTGTGATGCAAGAGTGAACGAAAGGGAAGGACTTTACACAGCACAGGTTAGCAAGAAGGCACTTGGGAGACAGAGCTTGAAGAGGAGAAGGGGAAAGGGCACCAAGGGCAACCAGAGTTTATTCTGTAGCTTTGCCTGTGCCCCCACCTCACCAGCAGCCTTTGGTACTCCCATTATAGGTGCTTGTACCACACGGTATGTGTAAGACCCCTGGCTCCAGAGTAGATTATACCCACGTCTAGGAACAGGGCCCCCAACACATGCACAAATGCGTGCAGCACCTCATAGTTTACAAACAGTGAGGTAGCCATAACCTCCATTTTACAGATGAGGAGACTGAGGCTCCCTTTCTCAAAGTCACCCTGCTAATATAAAGCAGAACTGGTGCTTAAACCTAACTCTCTTGTCTCTCTACATCACTGTGCTACATCAGTCTCCTAAAAGCAACAAGGGGCAAGAACCCAGTGATACAGAAACTATCTAGCTCCTCATTCTGAAATAATGATAAAAGACCAGCTTACATTTTTTTTTAAAGACAGTACAGTGTAGTAGTTAATGGGATGGACTCTGGAGCCAGAGTTCAAAAACTGGCTCCATGAGGCACTAATTTTGTCAGTTGGGCAAGCTTTGCCTTTCTGTACTCAATTTCCTCACATGTAAAGTGTGGCTACCAACAGTATCTATCTCACAGGGTTAGAAAGACACTAATAGTATCTTTCTCACAGGGACGTGGAAAGAACCTGAAACACTGCCTTGCAGGTTAAAAGTGCAATATTAAGTGTTTGCTATTATTTATTGATCGCCCTCTATTTGCCAGGCACTTTCTACACATTATCCCATTTAAACCTTCCAATAACCTGTGAGGTGGGTATTATCAGTTCCACTTTACCCTTGAAGAAATTCAAGCTGAGAAAGTTTAAGCAATTGATTCAATCCCTAAGCTAGCAAGTGACAGATTTAAACTCAGGCCTAATTTACCCTATGAGCACACTGCCTCTCGACACATCCAAGCTTCTTATTCACTACATGGAGAAGGTCACACGCACCCCTTTCATAACACCTGGGCTACTTTCACACCCCAATATAAAATATACTTAGATTTCTAAAAGTCCTACACCAAAAAAAAAGCACTAAACTGATATCATGGTTCTCAACACAGTAAATGCCCAGATGTCCCATCAACGTAGGGCATGGTCACAGATGTTAGATTCAAGTACTGAACTAAAAGCTTTCATATGCCAGAAGTTGTAGGTACTGTTTAAGGTACTGCCTGATTCCTTACAATCTCAGCACTAATCAAATGCCAGTACCGGGGAATGGGATTCAGAGTTTTTACAAGTGGCTGTTCCACCTGCTAGATCGGATTCCAACACCTCCCTCAAGTGGCTGACACTATAGCGCCGGGCACTGCCTCAGCTGAAAAGGCATAAGAGGGGCTAGTTCTGAAGCTTCCCAACTGCCCTAGGTCAGGATCCAGGAAACTAAGGAGCAGGAGAAAAGTCCAAAGCTGTTCCCACTGGCAGAGAGATTCAAGCTGGCTGGGGGTGGGCCTCCTATTTCGGAGCCTTCTTCCACCTTCCACGCCAGGTGCTCAAGTCTCCTTTATGCCACATCGTTCCCAAAGCGCCATTAACAGGGCCTCAAGAGGTTCGGTGAGCCAACGCGGGCAAATCTCGGCTCTGTGCTCATTCCATCCCCAAAAAACGCAAACTAAGCCACTGGTTCAAATCCCACCCTGCCTAAAAGAAACAGGAAACGCCACTCTCTGGGCCGCCTAAGTGGCCTCGGTGGTCGCCGCGTTCCTGACACCTAGGGGCCAGGGAATTCCCGCCCCCACCCCCCCAGCTGGCAGCCTAGAGCGACTGTCCCTCCCCCTCAGGCCCCCTGCCCGGGCTGCCCCATACCCAGGGCAGGTCAGCCGAGGGGCAACGGCCGCCCGCGCGGCCCCACAGCCCCTCAGGTCGGGGGAGACGAGGTCCCCGCAACCCTGCCCTCCAGGGCTCCGCGGCTCCAACGACACCCTGCTCCCGCCCCCACGGCACGGGCTTGGCTCCTGCTCGGGGTGGGTCTGTAGTCCCTAGGGCGAGGGCCGAGCGTGGCAGGAGGCGAGGAGAGCGAGCAGAGCAGCCGGCCAGGGTTCGAGCGACCCCGAGAGGGAGCAGCTAGGACTGGGAGGAGCCGGACCGTACCTGCCGAGCCGGGACCCGCCGCTCCGAGTGACGCGGCCCGCGGTGCATTGTGGGCGGGGGGAGTGGCCTTTCCGCGGGGCAGCTCGCGTCCAACGTGGCTGGCGCCCGGCGGAATCAGGCCCCGCCCCCGTCTCTCGGCTGGCCCAGGCCAATTAGGTTCCGTGGGAAGGACACACTGACCCGCCCCCTCCAGGAGACATGGGCCCTGTCAATAACACCTGCGCCAAGAGATTGCAAAATACCCTGGCGACAGACTCTATGCTGTCCCTCAGAAAGAAAGCTAAACTCTGCTGCCTGTCACCTGTGTCTGAAGGCAGTTTGTCTCTCACATGCAGCCCTACAGCACCCGCTTATCCAAGGAGCAGGAGGCAAAAGCCCCCTCTGAGTAGAGCAAGAAAAGGACCTGCCCCATCTACCACCACACACCGGGAGGCGCCTAACCTTGGCAGAGAAGTGCCAGAGGCTGGCCCTGCAGCCCTTACCAGCCTTTGCATTAGTCATGCATTAGAGTCATGCATTATTAAACGAGCACTTACTGACTGTCTACCATGTGCCAAGCACCGGGTTTAGGCATTGGGTTACAGGGGTGAACATAACACTGGATGCAATTCTAAGGTGTAAGAGTAGCAAGAGACATTAAAGCATAAATCATTACATAATTATAAATTGTGATCAGTACTATGAAGGAAAATTAGTGGGTGTGATGATGGATTAATTTTGGACTATCAAGGAAGAACTCTTTGAAGAAGTGCCTTTTAAGCTCCAGGCATATGAAAGAGTCTTAAAGAATGTTCCAGGCCAAGGGAACATTATGTGTGAGGTTGTTGGGTCATGAAAAAATTTGGTGTGTTCTAGGAATTGAAAGAAAGTCAGCGTGGTTGGAGTTCAGACAGCAAGCTTGCGCTGTGCTGAGGCAGAGGCCAGACCATGCAGACTATTATTGGCCACACTGTAGATTTTAGACTATATTTCAGAATGTATCCTAAGGTCAATGGGAAGCTAATAGAGTGTTAAGTAGGATCTGATTTACATATTTAAAAGCTCACTCAGGCTGTTTGTGGGGAGTAGTTTGGAAGAGGGCAGGAGGGGTTGCCAGAAGGCCAGTTTGGAGGCAGTTGCATTAGTCAAGGCCAGAGATGATGGTGGCTTGAACTTGGATAATGGCACTAGAGACAGAAAAATTTGGATAATTTTGAGACATATAAATTGGAGGTGGAATTCAAGGGACTGAATAATAGCTTGATTTTCCAGGAAGGGTAAAGAAAAGAGGAGCATTAAGAATGACTCCTTAAGTGATTAGATGGACTAAGAAGCCATTTACTGATTCAGGGAACATAGAAGGAGGAGCACAGGGTTTTGGATATGTTAAATTTGAGATACTTATAAATGGAGATGTCAAACAGATTTGGATATGTAAGTCTGGAGTTCAAAAGAAAGGTCAGGACTAACTATGTAAGTCTGACGGTTGTTGGAGTGGGTGAACCCAGTGATTCCATTCCTAGGTATTTACACAACAGAAATGTATTCATATGTTCACCAAAAAACATATACAAGAATGTTCATAGGATGAATAAATTTTAGAATATTAATATAGTGGAATAATATAGAGGAAACAGAATGAACAATCTACAACTACACACAAAACATGGATGAATCTCACAATCATAAAATTGAGTAAAAGAAGCCAGACACAACAATTGTATACTACATGATTCCATTTATATAATGTTCAAAAACAGACAAAAATAATTACAGTAGAAGACACAAGGATATTGGTTCCCCTTAGGTACTAATGTTTGGAAAAGGGCTGTAGGGGGCTTCTGGAGTTCTAAGAAAGTTCTTCTTCTTGATGTGAATGTTGGTTACACCAATGTGTTAAATTAATAAAAATTCATCAAGCTGTACATTTAAGGTTTATGCAATTTTTCAGTATGTATTTTATTAAACAATAGAAAGGTTACATTTTACAAATGTTAAAGGTGATCCAGCCATGAATAAGTAACTGGTACCAGACTAACCCTCCCACCACAAACAGTAGAAAACTGGACCAAATCTATGAAACAAGTATTTTCAGACATTGGACAATAGGCACAATAGTAAAACTATGATCCTGGAAAGAAGGATAATACACAAGACTAGCCCAAAGAGTTCCCCAGATTTCTTTCTGGAGGTACTTACCTAACCACAGGATGGAAGAAAGCCAAGGAGAATATAGTACTCTTGCTAACTGAGGACAGAGAAATTGGAATTAGGAGAGATTGGGCAACTAAAATTTGCAAGGCAGAGTACCAGGGAAAGAGTTCTCCAAATATGCATAAGAGTCTCCTTGAATCTTTGGTATAGGTTTAAGGACAGACTCTATGAGGCTGACTAAAGAACAACTACTGGGGAAAGAAAATTACTGGGCACCTGTAAGCTGAACAACTACTAGAGCTTGAATAGAATTTGGAAACATCCAAGTTCTGACCACTTGGAATAAATAAACTTTGTTCAACACCTAGGATACTTGTTAGACAGACCTCAGAAAGGCCACAGTTTAGAAATAAAGCCAAACTAGCCAAGAGGGAAGGCTATTCTAGACCCAACCAACCAAAGCTGAAAAAGCTTATCTGCAAGCAAATTAACTGCCTGCTTGAGTGAAACTTAACAGTTTTTAAAGAAAGACAATAAAATCTGGGCACTAAAACATCTAGCACCCACAATGTCCAGTATCCAATAAAAATTACTGTATACTGAAGAAGTAGGAAAAGGTAAACCATAAAAAGGAGAAAAATTAGTCAACAGAAACAGACTCAGAAATGACAAAGATGATGAAATTAGCAGATAAGGATTTTAAAGTATCTATTATAAGTATGACCAAGAATTTAAAGGAAAACATAAATATACTAGAGACATGGGAACTATAAAAAGAACCAAATAGAACTAACAGAACAGAAAAATACAATATCTGAAGTAAAAATTTTATTGGATGGGCTTAAAAGCAGTTTAGACACTGCAGAATAAAACATCCAGGGACAAGGAAACAGTGCAAAAGAATTATCTACACCAAAACACAGAGAGAAGAAAAGTTGAAAAGAAAATGAACAGAAGCTTGCTGACCTGTGGGACAATACCAAGTTGCCTAAAACGTGTAATCAGAGGCAAAGAGAGGAGAGGAGTTAAAAAATATTCAAAGAAATCATGGCCAAAATTTTTCTAAATTTAATGAGAAATATAAACCCACAGATCCAAGAAAGCAAGCAAATCCCAAACAGGATAAACACAAAGAAAGCCACACCAAGGCACATTACATTCAAACTGCTGAAAACCAATAACTGAAAGAAAATATTAGAAACAACCAGAGAAAAAGCCACATTGTATATAGGGAACAAAGACAGGAAGTACTACTGACTTCACATCAGAAAGAATGCAAGCCTGGAGATAATGGAATAAAATCTTTAAAGTCCTCAAGAAAAAGCTGTCAACCTAGAATTTTATATCCAGCAAAAATTCTTTCAAATACTGAAAGTGAAATAGATCCATTTTCAGGCAAATGAAAGATGAGACAATTTGTTCCCAGCATACCTGAATTATAATATATGCTAAAGAAAGTTCTTCAGATTAAACACAAATGATTCCAGACAGAAATTTGAATTCGCATAAAAGGAGCAAAAAGTGCCAGAAATGGTGCATATATAAGTTAATACAAAGATTTCTTCCTCTTTTGAAAAATTTCTTGAAATTATAATTAACCATTTAAACAAAAAATAGTAAAAATGTTTTGTGAGGTTTATAACAAAAGAAGAGGCAAAATATACATTAACAACATAAAGGAAGGGTAACTGGATATATATATTGTAAAGTTCTTATACCATACATGAAGTGGTATAATTTGAAAGTATACTATGATAAGTTAAAAATACATATTGTAAGAGGAATGACTAAAAGAAAATAAAAGGTACCCAAAAGCTAATAAGCCAATAGAGGAATTATAATTAGAATACTATAAAATACTCAATCCAAAAGAAGGCAAGAAAAATGGAACAAAGAACAGATAAGCAAACAAAAACAAAATAACCAATATGATAGATTTAAACCCAATCATATTGATAATCACATTAAATGTAAATAGTCTAAACATTGCAATTAAAAGGCAAAGATTGTCCTAGTGGATTAAAAGAAAAGGACAAGACCCAATTATATGCCATCTACAAGAAACTCACTTTAAATATAAAGACACAGATCAGTTGAAAGTAAAAGAATGGAAAAAGAAAAACTCAATTGCTAATCAAAAGAAAGGTGAAGTAATTATATTAATATCAGACAGAGTGAGCTTGAGAACAAGAAACATTGTCAAGTTTAAAGAGAGATGTTTTATAATGATAAAGGAGTTATTTCATCAAAAAGGCATAATATTTTAAATAGGTATGCATTTAATAACAGAGTTTCAAATTACATAAAGCAAGAACTGAGGGGAGAAATAGACAAGTCCACAATTATAGTTGGAGATTTCAACACTTTTCTCTCAGTAAATGATAGAACAAGTAGACAAAACATCAATAAGGATGTAGAAGACATGAAAAAAAATAACAAACAACTGACATTTATAGAACACTTCACCAAACAACAGCAGAATACACATTCTTTTTAAGTGCACATGCAAAATATTCACCAAGCTAGACCCTTTTCTGGATCATAAAATAATTTGAAAAAACATTATTTGGAGTAAAAGAAAGTAGACACTAAAAAGTACATTCTGTATTTTTCCATTTAAACGAAATTCTAAACCAGTAAAACTAATCATTTGTAAAAAGAAAATCATAAAAATAGTCACTTCTAGTGGTTGGGTTGACTAGAAAGGGGCATGAGGGAAATTTCTGGGGTGGTGATAATGTTCTGTATCTTGATAGGGTTTGAGTTGCACAGGTATATGCATTTTCCAGAACTCATTAAATGATATACTTAAGATTTTTGCATTTCATTGTGTGTAAA